AAAAAAAAAAAAAAACAAAAAACTTACCAAGTAGTTTCCCTATTAAACTGCCCACATGATAGATACCAATCATTCCAAAATACTTTGATAGTGTAGATATTGAATAGTTAGGCCTAATGACCACATCCTGAAATATGATCTAGCAGGGCTTGCAATTCAATTTTGCACCTCAGAAAAACCACAAATTATTATATTTTGGTGTCCATCCCAAAGAGTTAAAACCATAACTATTAAAGCTACCAATGTCAAGTTTCCACAGTACTGAAGATGAGATAAGGTCCTCAGAAACTCCGTTCTCATTCAGAGATACCAAGGACTTCTTTAAAACAATCTCTGAAAAAGAATAAATCATAAAAGAAGCAAAAACTTAAAGTCCACTTAAGTATTTTAATATTCAGCTATTTGTAATATAATGTAGACATTTCTTCCTTCTATTTTCTCTACCACTTTTTTTTTTGTTTTCAGATATTAACACTTTTCCAGAAAACCATGAGTTTTTCGGGATTTTTGTTTTGTTTTGTTTAACCTGTGATTTTGTTTTAATTTTCTTAGGCCTTCAAATCACATGATTTACAAACTTGTACTGATGGCATATCTCCTCTGTTAATGAGTTAGCAAAAGCACTTACATACATGGTAGTTCGGTAGATATTATGTTTTTGAAAAGCTGTTTAAAAGACATCCCTGAGTAATATTTTAGTCTGACGTAAAGCATTCACAGGCAAAATTTGTTACTATCTCTTTCATATTGAAGTTTGAAAATTCCTAAGCTTAAAGATCATCTGTAAGATGTGAGAAATATATAGATATATAGGTGTATATATATTATCACAATAAAGTGCCTAAAGTATATAGTTGTATGTATATTATCACACTAAAGCAAACGGCAACATTTTAGATACAGGGAATTTTAATTAAATTAGCACAGTGAAATTAGTACTTACCAGGCTAAGAAATACCATTTGAAACACAAATGATTCTTGCTCTGGACTATGAGACAGCGAAGGGGTTTTCTCGGTATTTAAATGTATTAGTAGAACTGGTTACATAAATCTAAACATAAAACCAGTTTCCTACAGGTTTTGACATGACATTCACATCTCTGTGAAAAGTTAAAAATTGCTAATCAAGTCCAATTATATTTTAGATGGGGAGACTGACTATACTTGCTAAACTATAATTACTATCAAAATTCAAAAAGCAAATCATATTCATTTATCCACAAGCCAATCTTATTTAAATCAAGACTATCAAAAAAATTCTGCGAGTCATTCATGATCTGAAATTCGGTGTTTGAGCTCAATTCAAATATGGTGCATATAAAAAACGAAGTATTTCTATTTTGTAATAAAGACACTGCAAACTGCTACTCATTAGCAACTACTTTGAAGTAATTATCAACTCTGCCCTTTCTGACTTCTTAATGCCAACAGAGGATCATTTTTGTTCCTGGTTGTACTACTTAGGATTTTCCAAATACTCCCATCAGTGTGTCCTCTTTCTAGATGATGCTTTAGTTCTTGTTGGCATCTGTGTACCTGACCTGTCTTTCACCCACATCTTTGAGATCTGGCCTAACTTTGTGCTTGCCTCCTTTTTCCATAGTGTGGCACTGGGCACACTTCTGGGAGGAAAAAAAACTTGCCCGTCGCAACAACACTCATTTCAAAAACAGCTGTTTTGTTGATCACACTACAAAGTTTCTCTGAGGTTATGAGTAGTCTTGACTGCTCTAAAACAATCATGGCAGCCATATTCCCCTTGTTAGAGATTGGGTTGGGCATGGACATATAAAAGCATAGGACATTTCTGGCCAGAATATAAGATGGAAAGGTTTTGAGGACATTGTTGAAAAGGTTTCATTTCTGGTATCAGCCATCCAGACAAATCCACCACAGAAATCAGAGACAAGGACAGATTCCTGGCATACCAGTCCAGGAGCTGCCTGACTTCTGCATTCCTTATCAGATAATAAGCTACTTATTGCTTCAATAAATTTAGGGGTTCTCTGCTAGTTCCAAGCATCTAATCAATAGGCCAGGTTTTTTTCTTCAAAAATATACAAATGTAGGACAAAATGCATTCATAAACAGCAATTCAAACATTATAGGTTAATATAAAATGCAAAGTATGTTTTGCCTGCCTCCCAATTCCACTCCTCAAAGGTTGTTAGCAGTGCATTGTCGATTTTCTGGAGGTTGTAATTAAAATTTGAAATAACATGCTTAAATCTGTTATCAGATTTGTTTTAAATACTGCCTTTTTCATTTTTATTAAAAATGAAACAGCTGGCCCTCCCTGGTGGCGCAGCGGGTTAAAGCACAGCACTGAGAATCTAAAGCCGCTTCCGCATGAGTTCAATTCCCGCCTGCCCCGGAGGTGACCACATGGTGTGGCAGACCTCTCCTGACCGGCTCGCTGCTCCCCTCAGCAGTGTACTTCGTCGATCTGCCTGTTCTGTTCCCCACTCTGTCTCTGGTTAAGCCTCTCACCGCCCCTGAGCCTCTAGCCTGTACCCCAATTCTGTATGCAGAAATAAATAAATCTTTAAAAAAAAAAAATGAAACAGCTGAGCCCTCCCTGGTGGCGCAACGGGTTAAAGCACAGCACTAAGAAGCTAAAGCCACTTCAGCATGAGTTTGATCCCTGCCCAGGTGATCTACATGGCGAGGAGACCTCTCCTGACCAGCCTGCTGCTCACTCAGCAGTGTACTTCATTAGTTGGCCTGTTGTGCTCCTCACTCTGTCTCTGGTGAATCCTCTCACCTCCCCTGCACCTCTGGCTGTACTCCAGTTCTGAATGCATAATAAACCTTTAAAAAAAAAAAGCTATCTACTTAGAATCAATTGATTATATAACCTATTGTGAAAGATAAAATACAAAAGTCAAAAAATATTCTGTATAGTGAAAGAAATTTTATCAGGATGAAGACACCTAACTTAATGAGACTTTTATCTACCCAACAAGGGGTTAAAATATCAAAGAAGTTCAACAACAAAATAAATAACCCAATTAAAAAATGGCCATATCCAAATAGACCCTTCTACAAAGAAGACATACAGATGGCTAATAGGTACATGAAAAGATGTTCATCTCTTTCTTCTCAGGGAAATGCAAATCAGAACAATAAATCCTATAATTGTGAAAATGGTTATTATAAAAAAAAAAAGAAGAAAAGTGTTGGAGAAGATGGAAGAGAAAGAAACTATTATACACTATTGGTGGGTAATGCAAATTGGTGGTCCTTATGGAAAGCAGTCATTGACTCCCAAAATAATTTTAAAAAGAAATTTCATGTGATCCAGTTACTCCACTTATGACAAAAGGACTAATTTGAAGATATATGCACCCCCATGCTCAATGCAGACTATTTACAAAAGCTAACCTAACTGCCCATCTACAAACAGATAAAGATGTGGCATACCTACACAATGGAATACCACCACTCTGTTGTACAAAAGATGAAATCTTGTAATTTGCACCATGGATATTGGCATATTTCATGAAATGGCAGACAAATACCATATAATTTCACTCATGTGATATACAGAAAAAACAGACAAACTAAATATTAAACAAACTCTTAGACCATAATACTAATTTGTAGTTAACAGAAGAGAAAATGGATACAAGTAAATCAGACCATTATATGATGGAGGGTAGAAGTGGACATTGAGTGAACTTAATGTAGTATTCATATATGTTGATTTTTGATGCACACCTAAAACCTATGATGCAATGTTATCTCAGTTAAAAAGTAAATTTTTAGGGTCCTCCCTGGTGGTGCAGCGGGTTAAAGCGCAGCACTGAGAATCTGAAGCCACTTCCGCATGAGTTCGATTCCCGCCTGCCCCGGAGGAGACCACATGGCGAGCCAGACCTCTCCTGACCCGCCCGCTGCTCCCCTCAGCAGTGTACTTCGTCGATCTGCCTGTTCTGCTCCCCACTCTGTCTCTGGTGAAGCCTCTCACCGCCCCTGAGCCTCTGGCCTGTACCCCAGTTCTGTATGCACAAATAAATAAATAAATCTTTAAAAAAAAAAAAAAAAAGTAAATTTTTAAAAAGGAAGCTGCCCAACTTGGTGATTTGTAAAGAAAGAAATCCTTCCATTGTGCTAACAAAAAATAAACTTCAGAAATAAGGGAATATACGTTTTTTTAAGTTCATGATTACTGATTTCATGTCCAGTTATTTTATGTATCAAACTAAACAACTTGTATATTAAATATTTTTCTTGACTTTCAATTTGTATTTTAAATATATATGCTTCAAAGCTCATTTCTTCTTGCAGAACTTACAGCAAAAAAGTCAAAAGGGAGATTTTAAAAAAAGGAGTCAAATAAATGGTGAATAGAAAAAAAAAACACAACAACACAATAATCAGGTTATGGAGAAAAAAAGGGGAGATGCTAACAACATTAAAATAATGCTAAAAGTTATTCCTGATTTTAAGATAGGACTTCTTTTTGCCTCATTTATTATTAAGACTACAGATCATCCTCAGATAAAAACTGAAGGTATCAAACAAAAGAAGTAGGTATAACCTCCAGGAAATAATGAAGTTACATAAATAAAATATTCATTTTCTTCAAAGTTTTCAAATTAAAGGTAATAATAAAAACAGCTGTGTGCTAAGTCTTTTATGAACAGAGAAAAGATGGCAAGGTGGCAAGAAAACTTGCTCTTATCTTAGCAAGTAAATAAACTAAATTATAATTACCAAAATTTATGAGGATATGAAAGGAAGAAAAATTACCAAATGGCAACCAAACAAGGTCATATCAGGGCTTCACATTAGTCAAAAGCAACTTCTCAAATATGGTCTATGTTCAGTATAAGGCAGCCACTGCTTACACATACCCCATATACCTCTAGAATTGCAGAGTAAAGTTTAAGAATAAAATGACAACAGAGAACATTACATTGTAAATAGTATATTTCTCTCACTCACACACAATATTGTATGAGACATTTACTAGTTTTAATATGTATCCATAGGATTAATACTCATATGGAGTATAACATGGAAAAGTGCGGAACAAAAGAAATCAGAACATCTGAAAACAAAAGCACACATTTCTTAGAATTTAAAAATATTGCACATAATAAGGTTGCACAGAAATTACTGGCTGTTTTTACAAACAGAATGAGGTATTAGTCAATTTCTAGATAAAGGTGAGTGCAGAGAAGAGGAACCACACACACAAAATATATAAATTCCTATTAAGACTTCGAGCGCCAACAACTAAGAAAGAAATGTAAAAGATATGTAGAGTAGCTATGACTTGAACACTACAAAATCATTAGGTAGGGACCAAACGTAACAATCTCTTGGCAATATTTCATGAATTTTCAACTTTCCTTCATCCTACATGTCTATATAAGCTTTACAATCATTTCCTGTACCCCAACGCTAAAAAAGAAGTTAAGTCTCTAGTGACTATTAAGCCATGCCTTCCTAAAGCTTTCAGTGGAAATGAACCAAGATACTGCTATCCTTTGCTGAACAACCCAATTATAGTCTCGGGTACATTTAGCAACCCATATTAGAGATGCTACAGAGCATGCAATTTTAAATTAGCAACAGTTCACTGCAAAAATCATTCAAGTTCACACAATTTAAATCTACCACAACTCTTAAAGTTTAATCTTTAAATATTTATCAGGCAAACTCAATCTTTTCTTGGTATTAAAACTGGCCATGTTAAGATGCCCAAGGGCAGGGAAAGAAAAAGACCAGGAAGAATTTTATCTTTTTCTTAAAAAGAACCTTTCCTAATCAGGAAAATTAATATTTAGCTATTTCTCTACTAGCTGAATGTTGCTAAATTTGTCAAAAACAATTTATATTTAATAGCTACATCAAGTTAAAAGAAATCATGCACTTATCAAAATAGTTCACAGAAAATGGTTTTGCATCAAAGATATTGAGGAAGAGCCAACGAGTTGAGTTTAGTGAGGACCAAAATAGAACAAACTACTGTCCTGAACAGTCAGTGTATGTAGTAACCATATTTCCTCTTCTTTGAGTGACAGTCCTACAGTGCTTGCTAGATCCGTGGAATCTATTTTCAGTCTGTACTGTGTGCCGATTGGTGGTGTCAAAACCACTGAAAGAAAACATTTTTTCCATATCTTCAAACATGTCATCAAATAGTCCACCTCCAAAAGAGAAGTCCTGGAAATGATGCCTTTGTCTACTGGAACCATCCTGGCGTGTTTGGAAATGATTTTCAAAATGCTTCTTAGACCGAGTGTTTTGGTTTTGACCAAAAAAACCAAAGTCTTTAAACAAGTCATCAAAATTGAAGTTAAATGACTGCTCAAAAGAACTTCCACTACCTCTTTGTCCTTTGCCATTAGTAAAAGCACTATGTCCAAGGGTATCATATTCTTTTCGCCTGTTAGCATCTGAGAGTGTTTCATATGCTGAAAAAAATAAACATACTTCAGTAACTGAAGGAAAATTAATAAAAATTACAGAAATGTAAACCTATTTAAGCAAGGGAATTCAATCCTCTATTTAAGGGAAGGATCACACATCACAAGTACTACCAAAACAATATAACCATAAGAATAAAATTAAAATGAAAGAAGTTACAAAAGGCAGGGATTTTCAGCTTACTGACTATAAACAGTTAACAATACTTGGTCCAATAAATGTATTAAATGAATGCCACATTACTACAAATATGTGCAAGTTATTCTTCACATTATTTGTGTAAAACCACTGCATGCATTAAGGAAAGTAACTGTCAAATATAACCAATAGGAAGAATTCAGATTTTTCACTTCCTTATTAATTAAAAGTAAATACTTAATTCCAGCTCCCCACTCAGTTACCTATACTCATCATCAATGACTTGAATGCTCAGGAGCTGCAATTTGCTTTACAGCTAGTCTAAAGTCAAAATTTGTTTTGTTTTTCCATTAAAGACAAATGTGTGAAATGTTGATCAAGTGGAAGGGGGAAAAAGTTATTTTACAGTTTACCTTAATTTTTTTACAGTTAATATATTTAATCTCAACACTTAGTAAAAAGCTATTTTATGTTAGTTCATAAATTTATGCACCTAAAACTCCTTTTCACTTAAAAACAGTAAGTGGTTTTATAAATAATAAAAAAAAAGTGCTTTCAACATTTTGATATTTGTGCCATCTGTTATGTTGCAGAGAATCTCACTGTATTTAAATGTAGCTCTCACACTCCTCATCTTCACAAAACCTTCCAATACACACATCTTAATTATCATTTTTCCTTTACTAGTTAATGCCTGTGAGACCTCAGAGTCATTTACTTACCTTCTGCAATCTCTCTGAATTTTGCTTCAGCATCAGGGCTCTTATTTTTGTCAGGATGGTATTTCATAGCCAACTTGTGAAAGGCCTTCTTGATTTGGCGCTCTGATGCTGATTTTGGCACACCTAAGATATCATAGTAACTTTTTGAGGCCAAAATTAATTCTGTTATCATTAAAATGCAGATCGCAAAGATAAAAACTGATTGAGGAGTAGCCATTTCTAATATCCTGAAAGAAAAAAGAAAAAAAGCTTTACTCATGAAACTAAATAACACAAGATATATTTAATGTAGTATCAAAATGTTCAGCATGTCATGTCTAGTACCTGCACCCAGGTTATTTCACCTATTTTAGCTTTACTACCTCTAATTGGTCTTACCCCTAGTGAAAAACTGTTTTTGGCCTTGCCTTTCCATGGGTACTCTCACTATCCACAGAATAGACAATATTCAATAACTGATTTTTACTGGAGACTAATATGTAAGCATCAACCATTAAAAAAAAAGTGAAAAATCCCATTTTTTTAAAGGAGTTCATTCTCCCTGTAAAGAATTTATATTTGACCCGCGGGGGTTACAATTGAGATGGGAGGGAAAAATGTACAAAATGATGTAAAAATAAACTGTTATAAAATAAAAAAAAATAAAAAAGAAAATGACAGACTAATATCTCTGATGAACAAAGATGCAAAAAAAATAATTTATATTTGAAAGGGGTTTAAAAAATGTAACTTTGGCGGAAAAAAAAGTTAAATTTAGTAGCCCAATATATTACTGGTTTATTCCCTTTTTAAGAAAATAGCATGTTCAGCTTTCATTTCAGCTTTGTGAGTTATGGATTGCAACTATCAATAACACAAATAATACAGCAGACTGTAATTTTCAAAGAGCTCAATATTTAACCAAAAAAGCACGAGTAAATAAGTCGTCTAAAACTCTTAAGTAACAGAAATTGTGATTTCTCCCAAGGCTGCGAAAAAGATGAACTATCATGGTCTATACTTAAGATAAATTCTTATTTTCAAACTCCTCAGTAGCCGTTAAAATATGTCCCTAACTTAAGAAGTTTTAACTTAGAATTCTTAATAGCACAGATTTCAAGAGTTGAGCTCAAGAAGCCCTCCTGTTTCATGAGCACTATGCCACAGGAGTCCCTAATACCCTATGATGACATAACAAGGCTGACGAAAGACACTCTGGTTTGTGGAAACTGTCTGCCTTCCTCTCCTGTGGCCCTTCCAGAGCGTAATTAGTAGGTGGCTTTCATCTTTCCACAGTTACTCACAGTCACGGGTACCAAGGATCAAGTGCAAGCTCCTGGTTTAAAGAACACAAACCCAGAGTGTACCGCGACAGCAGGCTGTCCCCTAGTCAAAGGGCGGGTCTAAACCTGACTGGGAGGCCTCTCACTGGCTTGCTCAACGTTATCCCGCAGTTTCAAGTTGAACATCTGACACTTTTTTGCAGATTTGAAAAAGACAAAACAGATTTAATTGGCTAACTTTTGTTTTATACCGACTTCTCTCCACGGCAGCCAGGGCCCTGCTGTCCCAGTCAGTGGACGGCTGGATCGGACCGTCCGGCCCTCATCCTCAGACACGGTCGCTGACACACGCCCTGACAGTGCAGGCTCCGCCGTGGCGGCTGCCGCGGCCCGGGGTCCAGCCCAGGAAGGCGCCTTCCCGAAAAGTCGCCAGCGGAACAACCCAAAACACAATCGTGAGGTTCGGCCACCTCCTTTTCCCTGTTCCTCTCAGGAACACCCAGCAGCCCGAAGCCTTTGCGGCCATCGTATGGCCGCCGAGGCCAAGTCAGCCCATAAAGACTGGCCAAGGCCCCGGGAATGCGCGAACTGCACCCCGCGACCCCGGCTTCGTCCCCAGTCCGCACCCGCCAGCTGCTGCGGTTCCTCCACAGAGGCGAGGCGCCGACAAGGTGGACGACGGGCTCCTCACTCCGGCCTCCGCGGGCTCCGGAGCCGGCGCGCGCCCCACCACCGCTGGCACACAGACCTCGAACTCCTCCGGCCGCCGCTGCCGCCGCGTTCCCTCTCGGCCCGCTCCCTACTGGCGGGAGGCAGCTGCAGGCGCGGCCACCTCAGAAGAAGACCTACACGAAACGCTCTCCTATTGGCTCCCGCGGCCCCACCTGACCCTGGCGCCCTACGCGCACGTGGAAAACTGTTGTTGCCGCTCAGACTCTACATCACTTCCGGTTCCAATCCGCCGGAAGGATGGCGCTGAGCCCCCGCCTGGCGGAAGTGAGTGGAAGGTGGCGTCGATCAAACGCTGGCCCGACCCCGGCGCAGGCGCGGTGACTCCGGCTGCCAGAAACCGCGTACCCGCCTCAGCCAGGGGGGCTCGCCGGAGCCCCTTAGCCCGCCGGGATCTCGCGGCGACGCGTCGGAGCGATGCCCCGCTATTGCGCTGCGATTTGCTGTAAGAACCGCCGGGGGCGAAACAATAAAGACCGGAAGCTGAGCTTTTACCCGTAAGTTGCCGCAGAACATCAGTGTCAGACTTTCCGTTGGGCTTGTGGCTTTAGGGTGTCTCTTACTTGCTCTGAAAGTACGTGCTCAGCTCGCCGGGCTTGGTGGTCACCTCGCGGGAGGAGGGCACAAAGGCTTGACTGAGCTTCTCTGGAAATGCCCCGACTGAGCGAGGGCGCTGGACTGCGGACCAGGCTTGGGGGCCTGGCTGGGTGTTAACAGCGCACTTTAAACAGTCGGGTTTGCTGGGTGATGGTGTTTGCGTTTCCCCACCTGACCTGTCCTCATTTCATTCAACGACGTTACCACCCAGCCGTGGACGGTACAGCAAATCAGACGAAAGACTGGGTTAACTCGAAGGTAAAACTCTTCTGTGTTGTTTTTGATTCCATTTTCTCCTGAGGGAAACGGCGGCCTTTCAGAAACATTAAGTCACTGACCGCGAACATTCTATGGCAGAGCCAGAATGATAACCCATCTCCTGCCTAAGCACTGCACAGTTTTTGTACGGAGGGCAGGGTTTTAGTATTGCGAATTCTAGTGCCCCCACTATTTATAAAACCACAGTACTTACCCAGAAGAACAGGGAACCAATACTGTGTAGTCCTAAAGATTCCAGGCTCCAACCAGACTTACAGGTTCAGTCAGATCCCAGCTCCACTACTTTGTAACTCAACCACCGACAAATTAAACTCTGGGTGCCGACCTGTCATTTGCAGTGGAGATGGTCATAATACCTGATTCACATTAAAGAGTGTAAAGAAGTATATATGAAAATAGCATTTTAAAAGTCTTTCCCTTTTTCTTGCATTTAAAAATAGTTCATTTAGCTCTAATTTAGTTGTCTCTTTGAATTTTCATTAGTTATTGTGTGAAGCTATTTTAATTTAGACCTCTGTTTAAGATGTAACAGAAAAATTATAAACTTAACCATGGCTAGCAAAGTTCAGGTCTCTGAAAATCTATTTTCACCTTTAAATGCCTGTTCAGGTTGTGACTGTCATACTTAACTAAGCTATCAATATGTACAAAGTTAAAATTTTTTGTATGAGTAGGTGTCTACCGCAAGAACCTTTAAAAAGTAGATCATCTTTTTCTATACAAGGATATCAGAGTTTAAAAATATTTCTTTCAAAGTAACAGACTTTTCTGCTAGTGTCTTACAAAGTTATCAATATTTAAAGAAGAATCATGTTACTACAAAGCATAAATTAAGTGGTTGGGATGAAGGCATATATAACAGATTTTTGTTGGAGAAACCTTACATCATTACAATTTTTTCTCTCTTTTTTATTGAGGCAACATTGGTTTACAACACCACATATGATTTAGGGGAATAGGTTCACACCACCTGACTTACTTGTCTCCACACCATGCCTACCACCCAAGCACCCATAGACCTGTACCTTAGATCATCAGGCCTCCTATCCCCTTGTTCCCACCCCAATCCTCATTCCACCTTCCTCTCTCCCTTCTAGTAACCTCAATTCCGCAATCTTATTTCCAGACTTTGTTTTGGTTTAGTTTTGTCATTCCTTCACTTTGTTGTCTCAGTTCCACACTAGTGAAATCATACAGCATTTGTCTTTCTCCTTCTAACTTTGTTACTGTTTTCTTTAATAGGACATTATTTAATGTGTCTTGAACTGTATCCTTATAGAGCCATCAAAAGAAATAAATCACTGTTAACTGTTCTTTAATATGTTTTAATCCAAGCCTGTTTAGACTGGTACAAAGTTTTCTGTCAAATTCTGCTTTAGCCCAATTTTGCATATAAGACACATTGATCCAGGTTATTGTAAGTTTAGGAAAAACCCATATAAAGTATGTGTTCCTACATTTTGCTTGAAAGGACTGAGTTTTGTTTTACAAGCCATGGTTCTCATACCAAAGTCTTGGCTATACTCTTACATCTTAGTCATCTTAACTGAAGAAATGACTAGCAGTAGTCATAATGATACCTTGCTTTTTTAAATATATAGCATAGGTTGTTTTCTTTTTTTTTTAATTTCAGGTTTCCTCTACATGACAAAGAAAGACTTGAAAAATGGCTAAAGAACATGAAACGAGATTCATGGGTTCCCAGTAAATACCAGTTCCTGTGTAGTGACCATTTTACTCCTGATTCTCTTGACATCAGATGGGGTATTCGATATTTGAAACAAACTGCAATTCCAACAATATTTTCTTTACCTGAAGACAATCAGGTATTGGAGGCAGGGAGTAGGGGAGGGGGAATGAAGCTAAGCAGGGGGCAAGTGATCAGGTGGAGGGAGTGGAGAGAGAAATTGCTGGGACAACAGAGAAAAAAAGAGAACTAGTTTGTACTTTTCCTAAAACTGAGATGATTTTTAAAAATATCAACTGTTGAGAACATAGTTTATGAGGAACAAAAGATAACACAAAAATTACAAGGTTATTAACATAAGTTAATGATCTAGGACTTTTTACTGGTCTTTTTAAATGTGAGGTGTTCCCATCATCTAATGAATTTACTAATGCTTTTTGAAAAACACTTTATATTTCAGTTGTTACACACAACTTTTTCTTTAATTCAGTAAGTTTGCTTGTCCTTAATGCTGCTCAAAGTTATAAATAAATAGCACTAATTAATAAAACAATAGATCCATTAAGGATATCATTTTTAGAATTTGAAAATAATATTTTCTAGGAAAAAGACCCTTCCAAAAAAAAATCTCCAAGGAAAAAATTAGAAGAAGAAAAACAAGTTTGCCTAAAAGCCAAGTCAGAAGAAGTATATGTATCAAATGAGCCAAAGAAAAATACAGTTATCACAGATGCCCTTCCTGAACATGCAGAATTACTTAATTCATCTTTCTTGGTGAAGTCATCAGCTCCAGAAACAATAAGTATACAAAATAATATTTTAAGTTTTAATCCACTTAAGCATGATTCCAGAAAGCCAGAATCAACCTTGGCAACATCAGTTAATCAAAACATATGTAAAGGTGGTTTTCACAGATCGCTTGAGATTCCAAAATCTACAGCTATTACTTTGACAACTTCAAATGAAGAAGGTATTCACCAGTCTTTGGAAAACCAAGAAGTGCTTGAAATAGCTAGCAATCATCTTGCTAATCCAAACTTTATAAATAATTCAACAGAAATTAAGTCAGTGCAGGAAAACCCATACTTACTCAGCACAATTGCTCAAAAAGTTGAAGAAATAAACACAAATAAAGAATCTGTTATTGCCATTTTTGTACCCACAGAGAATCCCAAACCTACAGTTAATTCTTTCCTACCTGCTCAAAAAGAAACTGTGGAAATAGAAGACACAGACAATGAAGACTCCTTATATAAGGATGTAGACTACGAGACTGAAGTTTTACAAATTGAACACTCGTACTGCAGACAAGACATAAATAAGGAACATCTTTGGCAGAAAGTCTCTAAACTACATTCAAAGATAACTCTTCTTGAGCTACAAGAGCAACAAACTCTAGGAAGGCTGAAGTCTTTAGAAGCATTAATAAGACAGCTAAAACAGGAAAATTGGCTATCTGAAGAAAATGTCAAGATTGTAGAAAATCACTTCACAACATACGAAGTTACTATGATCTAACAAAATTTTAAAGCTGTGACTATATAAGCATTTGTAGTAAAACCAAATATGTATAAAGTGAACTTTCTCTTGTATAAAGTGTTAATCTTAGTGAAACTAAGATGCTCTAATACATCCTGTTCTTAAAGTGTTTATTTCTTTGAAAAAAGTAGTTGTTGAGCAATAGAGAGAACATGTCATTACTTCATAATTTTGCAAATTAAAGTTAAAACATAACAAACAGTAGGATTAGTCATAAAATGGAGAACAGGTAAAAAAAAGCCCAGAAAAGTAAAAGGCCCCAGGAATCAGACCTGTTTCTACCTTTGGCAGATGACTTGCGCAGATTATCAAGATTGAAACTCAGCCTCTATAAAATTAGGACAGTTTACTCTATCTCTAATGTATTTTTTTAACAGTTCTTTCTTTTTCTAGTAAGATACTTTTAATAGAACTTTCCTGTAAGGTAACCTGCACTTATATAAAATCGGATGTGAACTTGATTTTTATACAATTAACTATTGGATCGTCTTCAATATTTATTGAATTCTATGTTGTTTGACTTGGCTATAGTTACCTATAATTTAAAGTAAAATACTCCTTTTATAATTCCAGCTGAACTAAAATAACCACCTATTAACTCAGTTATTAGCAAAGGTACTCTAAACGTGAAAGAACGTATATTTCAATACTTTATTTGTGACTAACCACCATAGTCATTTAAGCCTCTGATTATCCTGTATTTAAGGTTATATTTATAAATCAAAAATTTGAATGACTTGATCTTTTTAAACATATAATTATATTTTAGAAATAATTTGTATCTATTTACTAGGTATATCTTTTAAAAATGTGTGTCATTTTAAAATTCCAGGATGATAAACTTATACTACCGTCCCACTTAGTATATATTTTATTAAATTTCATAAACAAGAAATTAGAGATATGTTGATGACCTTAGGGAGATAAATAAGAAAGAGAATTGATGGTGAAATAAATAAAAGGAGAGATTATAGTCATACAAATTTAAGAAAAAGAGAGATGAAAGCAAAAACTTACTGTAGCAACAGAAATGTACAAAATAGATGATCCTTTAAAATTGACCATCAATAAGGGGTGGAGTGGGGAATGGGATCAAAAACAGTGGGAGGAGGGAAATGCACTGGACTATGGTGATGGCACATAGGTGATCAATATAATTAAATATGCTAATGTTTATGCTATTAAGCCAGATCCTATCAGTCTGATTCTTAGTTTTTCTCATACATCATACAAGTTGCTAGTACTAGCTAGAAGAAAGGTTTAGAGAATTTTGTAAGGAAACACGTTTTTGATTCTGGAAAATAGGTACTCAATAAATATTAGTTGACTGCATCACAAATAGTGTACTAATTGTTTTGTAAATGACTGGTTGTTATTTTTGGCTATATTTCATTTAGTTTACAGGCTAATAAATTAATTCCTGTTATGTAAATATCAGCTAGTTATAAAAAATTGATGAGAAGTATCTTTACCTCTAATCATGGAGACACTATGAGGCCAAAACCTAAAAATGTTGCATAAATTAAGTACCAATAATTGATAGTTAATATGATATTTTTAAATATTCCCATTTGATTTTTGCTAAAACTTATTTAAAATAAATAATACAGTAAAAATGTCAATGTGTTTTAACTTATTTTTTGCTCTTTATATCATAGTTTTTTCTTTAAAATTACAGTTTTCTTAGGAATAATTATATTAGTTTTACTTTAAATTTAACATATTAAAAGTAAGGTATTGTTTGGGCTGTCTGTATTCAGTTCGGAATGTTTTCAGTGTAAACCAGCTTACCTCTGAATTTTATTTGAGGTTCTAGCCAACTGTGTTTCTTATTTGGATTATTACAGGAGCTTTTAATTAATCTTGCCAATATATTCAGTCTCTACTTCCATGACATACTGAACTCTGCTGCCAACTGTTTACCTAAAATACAGATCTAACTGCATCATCCACCTGCATTTGATTCTCCTAACTCAAAATTCTGTAATAATTCTCCAGTACAAATGGAATAAAAGCCAAATTTATTACTATCATATACATGAACCTGTGATTCTGTTTATCTTGTATTCATGACACACATGTCTTCTTATATTCCTTAGATGCAACCAATCTGTCAAATTTGCATATTAATTTTGGTAGAATTTCATTCCTTTTTCTAGTTGAAATTATTTTCTCTCTGATCATACAGGACTTTGTTTCATAACACTATAACAGCATTTACCTTAGACTTTTTATATCATAATACCTATGATTTCTATAAAAGCAGAATTTTCTTTATTTTCTATATCCTTTGGCAGTATAATGTTCTCTCAATAAATGTTTAGAGAAATACTCCTAATTTGCCTACCAGATTTCTTGGTTTTTGCCAGTTAAAATCAAGAGCCTTCTGAGCAAAATATTTGTTCTTGACACTGAAAACCTTGGGAATGATTAAGTAAGGTATAGATCTTAATATAATACTGGAAACTTTCTGTGTTTCCAATGTACAGTGTAATTTACCACCAGTAACTGCTATGTCATCTATTAATTGATGTTTGCTATGTGAGGCTGATCCCAACCCAGACTATTTCATACTTTATTCTAGATAATTCTAAAAAAAGTTTGATAAAGTTATGTAACTTTATGTTTGCATGTCAGGAAGTTAGGTAAGTAAAATTTAGAAAGACATCAATATAAATATGTGGCCCTGATCTAAGTAACAAATTTTCTGTATTTTTAAAATTTCTGCATACAAGAATTGGGGTCTAAGTTCAAGGTGTGGGGTGGAGGTGGGGACCCTGTGAAAGGCTTTACCAAAGACAGTGCACAGCAGAACAGGCAGATCTGAAATACACTCCTGAAGGGAGCAGTGGGTGAAACAGGAGAGGTCTGCTGTGCCATGTAGGTCAGCTCCTTGGCTGGGGATAGAAATCACACTGCTGTGGCTGGAGATAGCTTGGTAATGTTGAGACTTTAATCACTGCACCACCAGATAGCCCCTTATCTGCATATTTGTAATTTTTTAAAATTCAGCTATGTATTGAGTTACAATTTCAGTGCATTTGATTTTTTTCTAGCTAAATTGGACAACTCTGCTAACTAATTTGGTGTTTGAATACATTTTTTTTGCCTTTTAGGTTAATATGCACTGTATTTGTTGGAAATGTGGATGGGTAAAACACTTGTACACAACTGTTCAGGGAATATGCTACAGAGAAAAAGGTAGGACAAAAGGCAGCTATATAAAGAGCCATAAACTTCAAGGATGAGTCTGTTTAACCATTTTAATCTTTCTGCCTGCTTAGTTTCTCAGCTTTATTCCCAGGAACTTTTCTACCTCTCCTCAGCCACCTCATTCCCATGGTCATTGGTGAACTTTCATCATCACCTACTGTATTCTCTTCCCGTACAAATGGCATGAAATCTATTCAGATGACTACCTCCTATTCTAAAATATGCTGTTGGAATAACACTGCAATGGACCACTTTAACACCATCTATTATTCCTGAGGTAGGTTGTATTTTACAAATATGGCTACAAAAAGTATCTTGCTGTTCTACAGTGTAACTCTGCTGCTCCCTCATCAAGAGATAGCTTATTTCTCTGCCTCTTTGAATCTGGTGGGCTGTGTGACTAACAAGATAAAGTGAAAATGATTCTGCCACTTCCAAATACAACATTTAATTGGCTTGGCAGCTTCCACATCCTCTGGAACAGTACCTCTTAGAGTGCCAGATGCCATGTAAGATGTGTGATTACCCTAAGATCATGCTCAAAAACCAAACCATGTGGAAAGTTTGGAGAATAGGACATTAGACGCATAAATGAAGACTCCACCATGGAGACGGATGCATAATCTGGTTTATTACTCTGTTGGAAAGTTTTCAAAAGTAGGAGCCTCCCTGGTAGGGGAAGGGGTTAAAGCAAAGCACTATGAATCTATCCACAGCCACTGCAGCATGAGTTTGATCCCTGACCAGGGAAGTGACCCACTTGGCGCAGCCCCTTGCTCTACTCCACAGTGTATTTCAGCCGATCTGCCTGTTGTGCTTCCCACTCTGGTGAATCCTTGTACCACCCGCACCTCTGTCCTGAACACCAATGCTTGTATATATAAATAAGTTAGTCTTTTTTAAAAAATAATTAAAAGCTTTAAAAATGAAAAATTTCATAGTTAATGACTACTCAGTGTTAGCCTCAGTAAAGGTTATTTATAATGGGGAATTACAGTGAGTGTTAATCATTTGGAGTCAGTAAACTAGAATTTGTGGGAGGCAGATAATACCCCTTCACTAAAACTTTGAGAAGGTACAATTTATTTCATAAAAGAGATGTGAGAGGGCAGGGTAGCAGCTAAGTAAAATGTGACATTTTATATAATACTCCCCTTTAGTAACAAATTCTAGCATCATTCTCTCCTTAATAACCCACTGACCCATTTTTCTACTCCCAGAGAAAATAAGAGCCATGCAGTACTGGATAGGGTGACATACAATCTTTGAAGAGATTAAAAGGTTTAATGGTAGTAGGAACTAATCAGCTAAATAAGTATTCCTTCATATTCTCAGAGAAACCCCGAAGACAAAGAATATTCCCTCAGTAATGCTCAATGATTTTGTTCCCAAGCTGAGGTTGTTAATAGCATCTTTGGTACATGCACCAACAGTGGGTCATGTCTAATTAAATTAAATTGGGGCACTGGTGATGGGCGTGGTATGCAAACATACAGTGTGTCCAAGGCAGACACATTGATGTAAGCCAGTGTTACCTGAATAAACATAGTTTAAGGGTAAGTAAGGTGACCTGCTGTTCTTTGCTTCAAGAAAACTTACCACTTATTCCCTTGCTCTATAAATCCCAGACCTTCTAGATAATAGAGACTTTTAGAAAATCCTATCAAATGGACATTACTTTAAAACTCCCATTCTTTTTTCTTTGAACCCTTGTATTCCCCACACTCATCCTAGGGGCAGCCACGCCTTGCTGTAACCCAGAGTCTGTAGCCAGGCTATCGGCTGTCATCTCTGTGCTTTCCCATCCACGACTGTCTATGTTTTGTCCCTTTTTCAAGCATTGTCACACAGTGTTGTTTTTGTTACTGAAACCTTGCCTTACAATTTAGAAGGTTTGAATGTGTAAGTTCAGGAAAGGGAAACGTGATAAGCATTTCACCATAGAAAATGGAACTTACAGTTTCTAAGGTACTTGAAGTGTACTTAAGGTCGCTCACAAGTATCTTTTAAACTAAGTGTTTAAATAACCTAACATCAATAACAAAAACAATTGGGTTAACTATTATTAAATTTTCCTTTATCTGAATTACTTTTGGTAATATGTTAATCTGGGCCTCCTGGTGGCTCAGGGGCTAAAGTCTCAGCACCATCAAGCTATTGCTAACCACTGCTGCATGCGTTCCATGATGCAGCAGACCTCTCCCTTCTTGCTTCCTGTTCCCCTCAGCAGTATATTTCAGTGGATCTACCTGTTCTGCATAAATAAATAAAAGTAAAAGTAAATCTTAAAAAAAAAAATGGGGAGTGAAGTTGCACAGACTCGGAGGAGGAGAGCGTGGTCACAGTCCACAGCCTTGCCTCAGGGAACATGCACCTTTCCACACCTGCAGCCAGGCCAGCAGTGACCCTCCTACATGGCCTACCACACTCAAGTGGAGTCTTGCACTGCCGGTGCGCCACAGCCAACTGCTGCAAGAGCAGCTTCCAAAGGAGTTCAGGGCCAGTGTGCT